GGAGACTATTTCATTTAATAAATGTTTTGTTTTGATATAAAAGATGTTCAGGTTTTTCCATCTAAAAAAGCGACATTAATTTCTTGAAGATCTAATTTTTTTTTTTAATTTTCGAACGAAAATATGTTTATTTTTATTATTTTTTTGTAAAAATTCACTCCCACTTCAATTTTAACACTTAATTATATTCGTCTTTTAAAATTTTCTCAATAGTATACCAAAATAAACTGAAAGAATTCATTATGAGCATTTCAAAATAGGGGCGTGGTTGCCATCTTTACACTAAAACAGCAGTTTAGGGATATCATATAGGATATATCTTGAACTGTTCATAGTCCTAAAGGTATGTCCCCCCCCAATGACTCAGCGATAAGTCTGCAGACTTATAACGCTAAAAATCAAATTTCGATACCTGTGGGGGTCACAGCACAGATAACTCCTTGTGTAGCTTTGTGTTTTACTACAAACAAACCGAAAGATATAATTTTAAATAAGCAACCAATAAAAATAATGCACACACTCACACCTTTTCTACAATATATTTTTAAATAGTAAAGATTTACAGATTGATAAATTATAACAAAGTTCAACAGGAGATTGTGTGTAAAATGAGTCTTTTTGCTCATCATTCATTGGATAATACAAAAATCAATATCATATTGTTTTGCCCCACAGTGGCACAGCGGTATATCTGCGGAGTTATACCTCTAGAAACCGGGTTTAGATAGCTCTTTGTGTAGCTTTGTGCTTAATAACAAACAACAACATTTTGTTTTTTGTCGCTTGAAAAATACATTTCTAAAACTGCATATTGGACAAGGTTGTTTTCATTTTATTACTTTGTTGTTGTTTTCTTATATTGATCAATACAGTGGGCTATTTTTTGTTAAGCAAAAAGCTACACAATGGGCTATCTTTCACTGTGTCCATTCTGGGGAAATTGAACTCCGGATTTATCATTACAAGCCCTCAAGGTTACCATTGATCCATTGGGAACACAAATGCATTGACGATTAAGATTAAAATGTTCTCGCATTTAACCAACATATTTGATACTGAAATACAATGATACTAATACACATGCGTCGTATTTTGATAGAGGTATCAGTGTATTTTTATTCGTTGTAATTAGTTTAAATCATTATTATTATTTTTTTCATTTTCGTATGCATAGATTCTAGAAAAAAAGATACTGATGTTAATTCTTCTGGCATTTAATCATTGATATTTCAGTTTTTATCATTTAACCAAGGGTATTTCGACATGTTCTGGTTTGCGAAGATTTAAGTAATGCCGCTGTGCCACTAGGGGGCTTGGCATAGTCTGGTGGTTAGGGCGCTCGACTCGAAATCCGCGGGTCTTTGAATCAAACCCCCTCACCAAGCATTGTTTGTTTGTTTGTTTTTGAATTTCGCGCAAAGCTACACGAGGGCTATCTGCGCTAGCCGTCCCTAATTTAGTAGTGAAAGACTAGAGGGAAGGCAGCTAGTCATCACCACCCACCGCCAACTTTTGGGCTACTCTTGTACCAACCAATAGTGAGATTGACCATCACATTATAACGCCCCCACGGCTGAAAGGGCGAGCATGTTTGGTGAGACGGGGATTCGAACCCGCGACCCTCAAATTGCGAGTCGAGCGCCCTAACCACCTGGCCATGCCGGGCCCCTCACCAAACATGCTCGACCTTTCAGCCTAGGCGGCGTTATAATGATATGGTCAATTCCACTATTTGCTGAAAAAAACTTGCCCAAGAGTCGGCGGTGGATGGTGTTGACTGCTGCCTTAAAAACTAGGGACGGTTAACGCAAATAGCCTCGAGTAGCTTTGCGCCAAATTCAACAAACAATTAATAAATAAACAATACATTTTTTATAACTTTTTAACATGCCGTTTTGCTTTAAAAACGTTTATTTGCATATTTCTTAAAGTTTGCGCAATCACGACTAACACTGCGTCACTGGCTGTATGACTTCAGTCGTAAATAAACAACACACGTTGCCTAGCAACAGAGTGGCGGTCGACTAAAATTAAGTTAAGCCTTCATCCGTCAGCTGTACCTAACATCCTGTTACTTATATTATTTATTATTCGCATAATGTTGCAAATATTTATTTAAACAGAGAAACGTTTACAGAATAGATGAGTATTTAATATCTAATATTTTTATCAACTTTAATATATTTACAAATATTTTCTAGCACACACAAGATGACAGTGGAAGGCTGTGGCAAGATCATTAAATATGCTATGTTTATAGCCAATCTCATTATACTGGTAAGTAAGGTTTCTAAAAGTAATTAATATTTTATTACAGACCTTATTTAGGAGGTTATAAAAAAAAATCAGTGAAATTGAATAATATTTTTTGGTTGCGTAGTTGGCTGTTTATAATTCCCGATTGTTCGAAAGCAACAAAGTAAAATTTAACAATATAATGGTTGTTTTTCCCAAATAAAGGTAGAGCTGATATAAATCCATATTTTATTATTATAAAATATAAATGGATATATTATGTTTACAGCGAGCAGCAAAGTTTTTAGAAGAAAAAAGGCAACTAAAAGACTACTGAGAATTAAAATAAAATAATAATTCAAGAAATTAGATCTGTATGTTCTGTAACTTGCTTCTTTTTTAGATGATCTCACAATTTAGATGACTTGTTATATTCTGTTTAACTCTATATAACTCAACATTAATCTGTTTGTCTAAAACATGTTATCTATATCTAGTTATTTAAGCCTATTATTTGGTAATTATAAATACTTTTCTACACGTAACCCAACCTAAATAAATGCAAAGTAGATTTACTTTAAGTTGAAAATAAAAGAAACTAAAAACATAATAATAATATGTGGTGAAAGTAAAAATAAAAATAAAAAATCAGTCCCAGAAAGGGAAGATGACACAAGATGGCACCGTAACTTTGAATACGATTTTCGCCACTTCAGATGAATATAATAAAAAGCAAAATGTTTTAAAATGACGCCTTTGTTATTATACCTATGCTTTCTAGTTAAAAACAAAATTGGACGCAATCCTTTTTTTTTAAGTTACTGAACAACATTGTGGTTGGGGACCGTTTTACCTTTAAGGTCGGATAAAACGGACTCTCAATATGGGATTAAATGAACCTCATTTAACACATCACAAATGTAAGTTAAAATACATGCTGCAATTAGAAAACCATTTAAACCGCTTGAATCATCATTTTACTGCTCCTCGTAGGAAGTGTGCCATGCGCATTAGCTAGAACAATGGAGTAAAACAACGTGAATCTGTAAACCTAAACTGTCTTTCTTGTACGACATATTCGGCTCTCTATAATTCTTCCATGTTTGAAGTGAACATAGTGAAATTCCCTGCTACTTCATAACCATAAAAAAACTCAAAGTGCTTAATTTAGGTGTAGTTATTCAAAAACAAAAATTGAAATCGCGCTTTAATGATTCACGTGCGCCCGTCGGACAGTGTGTTTAGGCATGAGGTCATGTAAACAACAGTTATATATATATATATATATATATATATATTCACATACAAGGAAGAACGTTATAACTGATTATGTACGGGAGGGAGCGTTCTACTGAAGGGGGCCGTCTTACCTTACTTTTCCCTATATCGTGTAAAATGATTAATAAAAACACAAATTGAAAAAACATATTAACTTCCACATACTTGCTGACAACGTTTTGGTCAGACTGCCCATTTAGGTGATATCTCGAAATATCATGAGTACTGTTCGGAAATTTATGAGCAATAATAATTGCTATTTTCTTAAACGAAGAATTTCACTAACTGCATAAGAAATTAAATTTGCTATGTACCTGTAGTACGTTTTAATGTGTGTGTTTTCTGTCTCATTCACCTGTAAATCTTACCTGGTTGATTCGTAAGAAATCCACGAAACAGTAACTATCAACAATTTGCTGTAGATATGTGGTATCGTTGTGTTTTCTGTGGGAGTATGGATCCTCGCAGACAAGTCCTACATGGAACGGCTGATGGGCAGCAACATGTACGTCAGTTCAGCTGCGATTCTGATCGCCACTGGAGTTATTGTGGTCATCATATCTTTCCTCGGATGTATGGGGTCTTACAAGGAAGTTAAATGCATGCTCCTCACGGTAAGTTTGATTTAATTAAGAACGTCCAGGAGGAAGACGATAGGAGGCTGAAATAAATAAATGATTTTAAATATCAAAAGAGGATTGAAATAGCAGTAAAATTATTTATTCATTAATAAAATCAATGGACTTTTGTGTCATATTAAAGCCATAAGTCATGAAATCATATTTGAATTACATCGTAGTTCTAGTGAGAGACCGAAACCTGAATCTTGTTCTCAGTTAGAAAATATTAATTGTGTCACAGTTCTAATCGTATGTGTAAATAGCTGAAGGATCATAACTTCATTAACGTAAGAATATAGATGATTCAATAAAAGTCTTTAAGCTTGATAGAGAATATAAGAATTGCAAACATTATGTATGCAAGAAGACTAAAAACAAGTAAAAATACGATCTTGGTAAACTGAATAAATATGTTTTACTGAGATGATATGTACTGTTGAAAAACATTTGTTTTATAATTAGTTCTATTTTCTTCTTTTTTTTTCGAAAATCATAGTACTTAATCAAAAATCTTAAATTAAAATAAAATAGATTGGTAATAATAAAATGTGCCTTTTCTGTAGTTTTTCATCTTCATGTTCATCATCTTTATCATTATGTTGGTCGGCGGAATCCTTGGCTACGTCTTCAGAGATGAGGTAAGTTTAATGTTTTAGATTTAAGTTTCGCTAGCATCCTGTCATTTGAAAGCAATATAGAAACAAAGCATTACTTAACGATAATCTGGAAAAGTTTTTACGATGTGAAGATTTGAATTAATTTTATAATTTTTGTAAAAAAGGAAATGAATCTCATAATAAATTCTAACATCAGTCATAAACACGTTTTACAATTAATTATAGCTATTTATATAATACCATCAGGAGTTTCAGAGAAACAAACGTTTAATTTTTTTCTCGAACCTGGAATGAGACTTTGAAATTAAAAAATAGTTTTAGATGTTACTTTTTAATTCTTCTTCTTTTATCAATAAATAATGAAATATTTCAAATTATTTATAAGAGAACAAAAAATGTTGTAGGGTTTTACTTCTCTTAGACCAACACAGTTAGCCTTGGTTGTAATCAGTAATGTATTTAAAAATAAAGTTTCTAACTTTATTAACATTGAAAATATATACTTAGTCTGTAAAATGGTTATTTTGAATCAATCTGCGTCATTATTGATCACTCTTAATGAACATCAGACTTGAGTCATTAAGCGAGGTTGGTTCTAAAGTTACTTAGAACATCTTTTTTTTTTTACTTTCTCAGATAAATAATAATTTATTATATTTCTTCTTCTTTGTATATTTACTGCACACGATTCTATTAAATCGTTATATGTTATATGCTTCAATATTTTAATGTTACTTAAAATTGGAATTGTTTACTAAATTCAGATATAACCGATCATTTACAAACAATGAGGTTCTTTACGTGTATTGAAGATCGACTATACGCTTTATCAGTATCATTTTACCCTAACCAGGTCCTTTCTTAAATAAAACTGGTTTATTCTTTCCGAATACAACTTTACGATACACTTAATTTCAATAGTCGCTCTTTAACAAACGCTATAATTCTCAACGAACTTCTCACGTGCTCAACAATATTCTCTCTGACTGCAGTTCAATTACTCATTACCCTGTTGTCCCGTCACGTTGTGAACGTCTTATATATACAACACATATCTAGTAAATGCTAAGGCATTCTTGAAGGAACAGGATATTTTTAGAAAGAGGTGGCGTGATACTAGTCACGTGACCTCGCTGACGCAACAATATTAAAACATAAATTATTGAAATACTGTCGTGAGTAATCGTGATTATTAAAAGTTTTGTACCGTTCTGCAATAAATCTGTAAAGAAAAATATGAAATAACTTCATACAAACTTTTCAATTTCCTTAAGAAGATTCAGTTCTTCATTTAAAAAACATCATTGGTCTTACGTTCCGATATAAAAACAACACAATACATATTCTGGATTTTGATAATTACGGGAATATTTTCCATATACTTTTTCTCCCTGAATGATGAGCTCACTTCTAATGTCATAACGTATATCAAAAAGTTGAGATTACTTTTGGAAATATAATTTTCAATCGTATTTGTTTTAGGTAGATGAAAAAATGAAGAAGGAGATGTTAGACTCTATACCACTGTATGGAAACGACACGGCCGTCACAGAAGCTTGGGACCAGGTGCAAAAAAATGTAAGACAGAAGCAATATCGGTAGTTTGGGGGTTTCAGTTAATAAATGTTGTCAGTGTTATTCAGTACGTTCCATTATAAATTTTAAACCAGCATTTCCCAAACTTTTGTCATCCACGCCCCCACTTTAATAAATATAGTTTTTTGTGCGCCCCCCTCTTATTTTAAATGAGTGAAAGAGTGAGTTAAGTGACGAGATGTAACACGCGGATACACATTAGACATGTGTTGTAGTAATTAATTATTATTTTCATTAATAAATTTATATATTAAAACGCTTATTTTTGCATTACTGCTCTATTGACTCTACCCTAATCGCTCGCGCCCCTCTGGAGATGGGAGGGGGCGCCCCTTAATTTGGGAAACGCTGTTTTAAAAATATTTTTTGCCAGAAGACATGTCCATATTCTATATTAATTGCCTGAGTTTTACGGTTGTTTTTGGTGTTTTTTTTAAATATTTCGTCCAGTAAGTTTACAAAACCACATTCACCAGAGTAAATACACTGTTGTAATTTGTGTTTTAGTTTTAAGTATTCTGCTGCATTATAACTTTGTTAGGTATTGTAATAATGTCAACGAAAAACGAGAAAACTGGAAATATTTTATCCAAAGCAATGAAATTTCTATTTCAGTTTTTAATAGAATCACCAGAAATTATTTTTAAACAAACTTTACAGTCCTCTGATGTTACAGTTCGCAATTACCAAAATATAATTTTTCCTCACTTTGTCGTGTCCTGGTGTCCATGACCTTCAGTTGAAAAATAAACTTAAAGGTATTCTAAAAACCTGTGTTTCAACAAGTATCTCACGAATATGTTTTCAAATGCAAAGTTCGTATTATTCAAGGTTCTGATAACAACAGACTATCTACGTAGATCAGAAGTTAAAAATAAATTAATATGTGTTTGTGTGTTTTTCTTATAGCAAAGCCACATCGGGCTATCTGCTGTGTCGACCGAGGGGAATCGAACCCCCGATTTTAGCGTTGTAAAAATAAATTAATAAATAATATAACTAAGACATTGTTACTTAACGTAGGTAAATTAATGTGTAGAATTATAAACGGACTTTTCTCTACGTTAAAATACTTTTATTGCGAGCTCTCGGCCCTCTTACCGAAACCTTCATCGGGCAACAATGCATTGTTGCCCGATGAAGGTTTCGGTAAGTGGGCCGAAAGCTCGCAATAAAAGTATTTTAACGTCCGGTTATAATTCTACATAACCAATTATTTATACCGGTTTAACTACAAATGTGTAACGCCTTAAAACAAAGTAAAAAAAAATCAAAAACTGAAAATGATTAGAGGCCATAAACTCATCAGTTGGGTATTAATCATTATTTCCATCTTAGAGATAAATTCATAATTTCAACACTAATTTGTCCTCGTTGTGGTAATGTTTACTTTCTGCATGTATAAAAAAAAATAATCTTAAGCCAAGTTCACCCCTGATGTATAAAAGTTCACCTTTCGAAAGCGTTCTGGTTATAGGGTTTTGTATTTTTGTCTTAAGCCCATATTAGCGAGTTCAATTCGTCCCCGGCCAAAGGCGTCTCCAGGCACTGACACACGGGGCCCATGCCCCGATTCTACTTGACTGTGCCCCGAATCCCCAGTTGGTGTTTTGAAAAATCATAATACAACACCATGATCGATACCATACTGAAATGCCGAAAAATTCCAAGCCTCGAATTTTTTAAACCCCTAGCGATGCTTCTGTCCCCGGCTCAACTACAGCAGTTATTGTGTGAGGACAAACCAAATGTATTTAGTTGTGAAGCAGAATATTGTGGTTAACACCGTGAATTGTGTATTTTAAACATTTAATAATTTATGTTGTAAAATAAGCCATAAGAAAATTACACTAGGTGGCGAGTATCGTAACGTGTCGAGGGAATTATTGATAGTGTGTTCTGACATGAGTTAATTTTCTTTTTTTTTGTTGTTGTTGTTGTTATTTTTCATGTTTATCGTTATGCCCCCCAGTGGCACAGCGGTATGTCTACGGACTTAGAACGCTAGAAACCGGTTTTCGATACCAGTGGTGGGTAGAGCACAGATAGCCCATTGTGTAGCTTTGTGCATAATTACAAACAAACAAACAATTAATTTATAATAATTTAAAATTGGGGCGTTTGCCACCACTGAGTTAAAACTAGACTTCGGTTATTTCTAAGGATTTTTTTATTATTATTAATGGAGCTTACCTTTTAGTGTTTGTGAATTCATCTGGCTTTACTAAAAAAATTTATTTTTAAAGATATGTAGTGTATTTTTCTTATACTTACAGAAATTATTTGAAAACCTGTGATAATAAACCTGACGTCGGGCTTTGTATGTTAAATAAACAATGTGTCTTTAGTTTCAAAAACTTAGTTTGAAAACAAGTTAGTTTGCAGTTCAACTTTTTTTCTTTTTTTTGCGAAAACACGAGTAAATATTTTGTTGTAAATGGTTACCATTTCTTCGATTACTTTAAATTAATTTACTCGTACATTTAAATACGTATTTAAATACTGAAGTTTGATGGAATTTTAAGTATTTTGCGACTGGTTAGCTGAAGTCGAACGAACCTGGCATTGATATGCCATTCTGATGATTTTTATGGGGTAAGTTTAAGTATAGATGTCGACCAGTAGATAATGAATTTCTTGTTTTGATCTTGTAGATGAAATGTTGTGGAATGAAGACCGGAGATTCAACAATGCCTTATGCCATTTGGAGCCTGAATCGAGGTTTTCAAGCTGACAAAAAAGTTCCAATGTCTTGTTGTATGGGAAATGAAAAGTGCCAGGCATCACCTACTGACAGCAACTCATACAAGAATACAGTAATAATATGTTCTTCTTTTAGATATTCATTTAACAATCTAGAACAATCTTATGTTCTGAATTTTTAATACTTTACAGACACTCGTAGCAATCATAGTGATAAAATAGCATTTTCTTCTGCTACCAGAATATACAAAAAATGGGGAATGATTAATTTTAATTTTAATTAAGTTATTCACGACTACAACAGAGTAAAACGATAGCACTGTTTCTGATAAGACAACATTTTCTTCTGCTACCAGAATATACAAAAAATGGGGAATGATTAATTTTAATTTTAATTAAGTTATTCACGACTACAACAGAGTAAAACGATAGCACTATTTCTGATAAGACAACATTTTGTTCTGCTACCAGAATATACAACAAATTGGGAGTAATTAATTGTAATTAAGACCACAACACCCCCAGTGGCACAGCGGCAAGTCTGCGGACTTACAACGCTAGAAACCAGGTTTCGATACCCGTGGTGGGCAGAGCACAGAATGCCATTGTGTAGCTTCGTTATTAATTACAAAAACAAAGTAAAACGATAGCACTGTTTGTAGGAAGTCTTATAACATTGGCGAAACCAAGAAGAGGCTCTAGTAGGACTTTAAATAGAAGTATAGTGTACATTTAAACAGATAGAGTAATAGAATATTAGAAAAATACAGTCGTAATGTATAAATTAAAAATGACATTGGGCTGGGTTTAACCTAATGTTCCGTACTGTGAATACAAGGGTCTCGGGTACAGTTGCCTCAAAATCTTTCTCCTCAATGTGGCTCAATGGTTTATTTGTTGTTGTTGTTAAGCATAAAGCTATACAATGGGCTACCTGTGCTGTGCCCACTGCGAGTATTAAAACCCGATATTTAGCATTGTAAGTCGCCATACTTACCACAGAGCCATCTGGAACGGGTCCATGGGAGTATTGTAAGATTGAAGAAGTCCAGAATGGACTGTGGCTGCTGTTGATTAGCTGCCTTCCCTCTAATCTATCAGCTCAAAATAATGGACGGCCTTGCGAGAATATCCGAAAGAAATAAATGACACCAATGTCTAATGAATAAAACAAATTAGTGACATGAAATGATAAAAATGACATTCTTAAAATTAAAATTGATATTAATATTCATTTAAACATATCAAAGTATTGATAAGTATTAACAAAATATTATAATATTT